CTGGTAAATGTATACTTTACTGTTTTAAAAAAAGGGGAAAATACAGAATCACAGACCGATTAGCCTAACAACAGCATTGGTAAAACGTAGGAGTCAATCTCAGGATATGGATTACATTATTTAGGATTGAGCTGAGGTAGCATTTCTTGATGCAATGTTGTTAACCTATGGAATTCTCTACTACAGAAGGCTGTGGTGACTGGGCTTTTGCATACGTTCGAGAAAGAGATTGATAGGTTTTTAGATATTAATGGCATCAAGGGCTTTGGTGAGAAAGTAGGAATATGGTATTCATCAATTATGCTTCATTGAACTCAAACATTTAACAGTAGTACATCTTCCATCTTGTGATACCATCAGAATCTGGCTTCGGCATTAGCCCACACTTTGTTTGGTTAACTTATTGTTGAGAACCCCAGTACACAATTACATTGCTATTAGATGAACTACGGGCCCAAATTTTAAACCAAAATTGTACTACCCCATTTGAGTTAAAAATTGGGCCCTATTGGTTTACTTCAACAGACCACAGTGAAGGATGAAACAATCCATTGTCTTCAATCTCACCACAAAACTTCATTCCTGAGCCACAGACTCCACCCTAGCACTTTGAGGCTGAGCAAGACAGATTTGGCATCCTATTACAGAGATGAACTTCAAACCACATGTTCAATTCATGCACAAATCTATCTATTCACAACAGTTACACTGTCTGACTCTGCTTTTGCCTCAGTTAATCTGCAGCTGAAATCCTAAGTGATGCCTTGGTTATCTCATGAACACCCATTACTCACGCCTATCTTCCATTCTATGTAAAGTTCAGATAATCAAAAACTCCGCTGCAAAACTTAACTCCAAGTCCCACTGACATCATTTCTCTGCTCACCCAAGTACTTTAGTAGCCAGTCAAAAATCAATTTTGAAATTCTTGTCCTTTCTTTCAAATTCGTCCGTAGTATCATCAATCCATACCTTCAACCTCCCCCAGCCACAAAACCCCAAAGATCTCTGCACCCCAATACACAAGGTTGTTACCTGTTCTGCCACTGGAGGTCAAACATTCAGCTGTCTTAGCTACCAAGATCTGGAATTTCATCCCTGAAGCTCAGTCTCTCCTCCTTTAAATGTGTTTTCAAAACCTACCTCTAATCATTTCTCTGTCCTGATATTTCCTTGTAGTTCAGCACCAGATTTTATTTTATATTGTTTCTGTGGAGCACTTTTAGATATTTTATTATGCTGCATAAATGCAAGTTGCTGTTCTACTTGCTCTAAGTCAGAAAAATTTCAAAATAATGTGTTCTAGACTGCTGAACAGACCTCTAATTTCATACCTGATGTTGATCCTACTGTTGCACATCTCCCATGCAGTCGTAACCTTGTATGCTTTGCTGTCTAAGCATCCTATGATCTTTATGTCCTTGTTTGCTATGATCTGCCTGTGCCACTCGCAGAACAGAAGTTTTCACTGTATTTAGGTACATGCGACAATAAATCAAACCAAAATACAAACGTAGCCCCTTGATCATACTCTGCAATTCAAAATTGTAGCTGATTTCCAAGCAAATATTTTCCTACATTATTCCCATTATTTTTTGATGTAAATTACATCTAGAAATCTATTGATCTTTACCTACAACATACTCAATGACCGAGCTTCCACAACAATCTGGATTAGAGAATTCCAAAGATTTGTTACCCTCCAAGTGAAGAAATTCCTCATTATTCTATAGCAAAGCTGGCTTGGCTTTTGAGATTGTGCCCCTCAGTTCTACACCTTTCAGCCACGGGAAATATCCCCCCCCCACCCCTCCTCCCACCCCGCATCTACCCTACATAGCACTGCAAGATCACCTCATTCCATACCTTCTAGTGGTTCCAGAACATGCAAATGATTTCATGTAATTATATGAAGGCCTGGTATTCTCCAGTACACTGTACAAGATTACTCCCTTCAGTAACACCATAAACAGATTAGCTAATCAATTTTGATCCTGGATCCTTACTGTACAATAACTGGTTATCCTATTTACCTACATACCAGTGACTGTGTGTCAAAGTAATTAGTTGTATAGTGCTTTGGACTATCCTAAGGACATAAAAACTACGTAACTGCAGAACTGATCCACCCAATTATCTGCCACTTAGGGGGCGACATGGTGGCTCAGTGGTTAGCACTGCTGCCTCAGTGCCAGGCATCCAGGTTTGAGTTGCCCGAGGCTGGAATGTCTGTGAGGAGTTTGCATGCTCTCCTTGTGTCTGTGTGGGTTTTGTCTGGGTTCCTCCTGCAGTCCAAAGATGTGTGGGTTAGGTGGATTAGCCATGGGAGATGTAGGGATAAGTCAGGGGATTGGGTCTGGGTAGAATGATCTTCGAAGGGTCAGTGTGGACTTGATGGGCTAAAATGGCCTGCTTCTACTCTGTAGGGATTCTATGATAATTCTATTTTTTTGTTCTGCTATAATTTCAATGTCATGGTAGGCTGCAGGGAGCATCACAGTTTAATAATTGTTGGTACTCACATATCAATTCCTCCATAATTTAATGTTCTTCAAGTAAACATGTATCCATAAATATGAATTAGCTCTTTGTTTTGTTCACAGGATGAGGCCGTCACTGGTGAAGCAGCATTTATCGTCCATCCCTAATTGCCCAGAGGGCTGTTAAGAGTCAACCACATTGTTGTGGGTCTGGAGTCACATGTAGGCCAAACCAGGTATGGATGGCAGCTTCCTTCCCTAAAAGGACATTAGTGAGCCAGGTGGGTTTTTCCAACAATTGGCAATGGATTCGCGGTCATCATTAGACTCTTAATTCCAGATATTTATTCAATTCAAATTCCACCATCTGCAGGATGGCAGGATTCGAACCCGGGTCCCCAGAATGTTATCTGGGTCTCTGGATTAACAGTCCAGCGATAATACTACTAGGCCATTTTCTCCCCTGATTTGCAATATATTTCCTGTAAAAATGTAACTGATGTGAAAAGTTAAATTAGTTCAGTTTTGTAACTGCCAAACATCACTATTACTTTATCTAAATAAGAACACTAAATGCATGACATCAACTTTTCACTCATCCATCAAGTGTTTTAGTCTGCAGCTAAAATCATACCAGAACTTCTTTATGCCAGAAAGTACTGCAACTAATATTACTGTGAGAAACTAAGAGGACATTATGGAATTTCCCAACAATTATGGCCACCATTCTCTGTAAGAACGGAGAAACTTCTACTTCCTCCACAAGACGGGCGATTAGGTCTAATAATCCCGTAACTTTACAATAAATCTCAATTTCACTAACTTCCAACACCTATCATTGTCCTGTAACACTGATGTATCCCCTTGCTTCTTGAAGCTCTAATATTCAATAACTTTGCTAATTTCTGCAATTTTATAACCTAACCTGTAACCTCTTATTTGAGAAATTTCCCTATTTGTTATAAGAAAAACAGAACAAGACTATTCAGCCCCTCAAGCCTACATTCTAGATCACAGCTGATCATTAAAATGTCATAAACCTACACCAGCATTGTATTCCTTGATGTCACTAATAACTATAAATCTATTGATCTTGGTCTTAAACATACTCAATGACAGACTCCAGAGCTCTCTGGTGTACAGAATTTCAAAAGTTCATTACCTAGAATGAAGAAATTCCTCAGCGCAGTCCCAAATAGTTTGTCCCTTATTTTGAGACCATTTCCACTGGCTCCAGAAACTCTAGCAAGGAGTCCTGTCTACACCTAGCCTGTCAAGCTGTGGGAGAATTTATGTTGTTTCAATGAAATCACCTTGCATTCTAAACAAGAAAATATCTCCCTGCTATCTTACTATTACAGGGATTAGCCTGGTGAACCTCCACTGCCCTCCCTCTATGAAAAAAGTGTAACTATCTTCACAGAGGTAAAGTAATCAAAGCTGCACACAATATTCCAGGTGCACACTCATTCATGCACACACACACACACACTCTCGCAGGTGATTTTAAGCAAGACACCTTTACACCTGCACTCAAAATCTCTCGCAATAAAGAGGAACAAACACTTTGCCTTAGTTATTTGCTACACCTGCATTTTAGCTTTCATAACTTACTTACAAGTACACCAGATTCCTTTGGCCATCCTTTGACAGCATGAGAGTCTAGGACTTGTGAGCAAGAGCAAGAGCCCCAGCAGATCAGAAAATAGCAAATGCAACAACTTAAACAATATATATCTGTTATAGGGAAGATGCTAGAATTCATTACAAAAAGATTATAGTGCTATCCTTATAAAAAATGTGATCAAGTAGAATGAACGTGGGTTTGTTCAAAGGAAATTGTGTTTAATTAAGCTATTAGACCTTTTTAAAGTAACATTCAAGGAGATAAAGGAGAATGGTTGGATGGCGTTACTTGGATTTCTAAAAAAGGTGTTCGATAGGTGTCACATCATAAAATTGTTAAAGCCCAGAGGAGGCCATTCAGCGTATCAGGTCTGCATAGATTCTAGTAATTAGTGCCGACCTCGTCTTTTCCTTATATCCCTGCACAGAATTTCTATCCAAATAATCCTATGTATTCCAGAATGCCTCAATTGAATTTGCCTACATTTTTAGACAGTGCATTCCATATGCTAAGCAAATATTTTCTCACACTGAAACGTGGCTAATTTAAGTTAAGAAAATTGTGCATTAGGTAAATTTAAACCAGCTATTCAAACAGAATTTCAAACAAATTAAGATATCCTAGAACCAAAATATACACTTTACCACATATTTAAAGGTTGTTGCATATTGTCACATTTCATTGTAAATTTGTGACAATCAGATAATTACATAATCTTTTTAAAAGTCTTAACATTAACATTGTTAAATATTTAAATTTTCAACTAGAAACTTAACGATTTGTATATATAAAACTTGCTCAACTGGAATGAGAGTTAAAACTAGAGGAATTTAGTTCTAAGTAACCCATTAAAACTTTAATTTAAAAAGACTTTTCCAGCTAGCCAATCATACCTGTGTTTTTTGGAGCATCTGCGTAAACCATGCCTGGTTGAGGAGGTGCATTCTGCCAACCATACTGTGGATATCCTTGATATACAGGTTGCCCTCCTGGAGGTGGTGGATAACCTGGGTAAGCAACATTAGGACCCGGACCATGCGGTTGTGGATAAGGTGGATATGCACCAGCTGGGCCTGGCCCAGGATAAGGTGGCGGGTTCTCGTTCATGAGTGATGCTAAACTGGAGCACCTCTGTGACTTGAAATCAAAGGGAAAAAAATATTTTTTCACAAAGTTTAGTTTCCAACGGTCATTATAAACTATGGTTACTTATAACAGCCAAAGAAAACGTTGTCGGAGATTTGAACCTGCTTCAGTGTTAATTTCCAAGTTAAGGATCAACACCGAAAATTATATCCCGACATTACTGGAGATCCTGGCTGGCCTGCAGGCCACCAGTTACTTTTTCTTCCAAATTTTTTTTCATCAGCTGCAGTATTTTGCCTTCAAATCAGACACGATCGCATTCAAATTCTCTGCCTAACCTCCTCGGTATTTTCTAGTTAGACGCAAACTAGTCAAGGCCAGTCATTAGTCAACGCAGGAGCTCAGTACACCTTGGGTGCCTGACAAATATGGAAGTTCCTCGTAAAACTCACCATAATGCAGAATCACAAGAAAAACTGCATACAAATTTAAGCACATGACGCGGGGCTATAATTTGCTTTCAGGGCAGTTTGAAAACATATGGATCTACTTCGTTTTTCTACACGTTAATAGACTGGAGAAAGTGCGTGCAGGGAGTGGCTAACGGCTTCAAAGATTCTTAATCTTTCTGCAATTATACAACTGGCTCCAGGTCTGTAAAACAATTGCGATTTTGAAGTACAATTGTTAACAGATCAATTTCCACAGGAGAATGCATTAGCCAAGAACCAAGCGGGAGAGGTGAAAGCGGAAGTGAAAAATAAAAACACACCAAAACAAGTTTAGGTTACTGAAAAAGGCAAGTAAATAATCACCCGGTAGTGTAGTACAGTTGAGGCAAACATGTTAAGAACTTTATAACATAGAAGCGAACAGGTCAACTAGCTTTGAAGGCAGAACGACACTTTTCTCATCTCATACTTATGTTCAGGTACTCCCGATGGACACGAAAGTATATCATTTTAAAATTTATTAATTGAGTTTTAAAAATAAATAGAACAGTTGCACATTTGTATCCCAGGTTGCAGAAGGACACAGACTCCCTAATTGTTTCAAACGGATTATTTTGAAAAGCTTTTTGCTAATCGTTCCAGGAACATTACAGAAAAACAATAGCCTCCTTTAATCCGTGTGTCCAATTAAAAGGAGCTGAGAGAACGAAGGCAAACATCAGAACCAAACGGATTTACGCCATAGCGATTTTTAAACTCAGCGTGAGCAAACAAACTGAACGGATAATTGATAGATCAGAAAATCGACGGGTTTTAAAAAAAAATCAATAGATTAGCGAGGTTTGAGATAAAAAAAACAATCCAGCAATTTCGAAGGGGGAAAAGATAGAAACAGCGCCAACAGATTAAGAAGCTGCTTGAAACATCCCAAAAGGAGTATAGAAAATGAATAAATTAAATGCTGCTCTCGAATGAGTTCGCTCTTTTCACGGAAAACAAAAAGCTCTGATTCCAAACTAACAATGAAGCTTTTATGAACACTGGAGTTGCCGGCATAGGACAAGGGCGCTGCCAGTTAGACCTTACCTGTGCGTTCCGCTTTGTCTCCGCTCCACCTGTCGTGCTGTCCCGCAGCTGCTGCTTCGTTACATTCACCACTTCCCTCTGACGTAATGCGGCCAGCCCCGGATCACATGATCCAGGCCAGGCGGAATGCGCAGGCGCGCCCGGGCTGAGGGAATACCGTTGTTCTTGAAATTCCTGTCTGTTATTTTCAAACGAGCGACTGACGCAAACAGCTGCTATTAAAAGCAGAATCGTCAGCGCCTGGGAAGATCAGTGTGGGCAGGTTATGGGAAGATACATGTTTGCGTGGGACTAATATTTGAGAGGGCACCCCTCCACCTGAGTCAGCTGTTGAGCCTTACGTTGGGCTACGTCGTGCTGAGTTTGTGACCCTGGCGGTTTCTGGGAGCAGCAGCAGCAGCAGCACCACCACCACCAGGAGGAGGACTCTTTAAGAGTTAAAAATGCGGAAAGAAGGTGTTGTAAATACAGAGTAAATAATTCATTTTCCCAAGTTATTTTCCTCCCCTGAGCTGGTGATATGTGAGTTCTGTTTGGAGGAGGCGCCTGAGTGCTTGTGATATCTGTGCTGCTGGAAAACCTATTTTAAACCTGGGCTGGCGCTGCCACCTTCCTGCTGATCATGACTCATACTTCTGTTAGAAGTTGGGAGAGCCGATTGGACAGTTGACTGTTACTGCACCTGTATTTTCTTTCGCAAGACTTGCTGATATAGTACAATGGCGTTTTGCTTCAAAGCCTTAATATTTTAAAAAATGTACACCCTTGAATGGTTGGACTTTTTAAGCCTTATCTAATTCCTAATTCCTAGCTTGTATGCTTTTGAAGATTGTCAATTCGGAAGTAATCTCGAAATTCAAATCAATAACAGTTTTTTTTTTAACTTCATGTTACATCTTAATATAACACAGTGAAGTGATAGATTATTTAGTATATGTTTAATTTTTAAATTGTTATGTACCAAATTGGGTCTGTTGTAGATAATGTATTTTGATTTCTTTGGGGGAGGGGCGGGATACATTTAGTCAGCCCTGTATTTACTCAGGACCCTGAGGTGTAATAGTCTGATATACCTGACATGTTACATGCAAATCTACCTTAGCCTGTGCTGTTTGGAGTTGACTAGGCAAGCTATCTATTTGAAATTGGCTTGGTTCAGGGCATTGAAAGTGACTAAGCACTTGGAGAAGAAATAGTTGATGGAAGAGACTTAGCATGAATTTCCATCCCAAAAAAGAGTATCAAAGTTTGTCATTAAAAATGACCAGTAATATACACCATATGTGTGTGTGTAAGCTGTCATATAGTTGATCAGTTATTCTGTGCATATATACTATTTCCTCTTTCAAATATTTTAAAATTTATGAATGTAATATTAAGTAATTCTAGAACAGCTGGTTTGAGTAATTATATCTGAAATATAAAACTAGCCTCAATAATGGTACCAAAAACATTGTTGATTGCAGTTTTAAAAAAAACCACCTAGTTAAACAATTTTTTTTTAAACAAAAAAAAAATGTCATCCTCATCTAATCTGGCCTCTGTGTGATTTCAGAATCATACTAATATGGTTAACTCTGAACTTCCCTCTGAAATAGCCAAACAAGCTGCACCCTTCAAATGCAATCGAGCTTGCCAGCAATGGCTACATCCCATGAGAGGGGTCGGGGGCAAAGAAAAATGGCTCAATAGTGTAATTCACAGGAAGTCAAGCATCAAAATGTTTATTGCTGGTGTTTGGTAATAGATTTACCAATAAACTTAATGTAATTTACTTTTGGGAAATTTGCTGTCACATGATAGGCATGAGTAAAATATTACATGCATGACTGGTCCAGATGTAGGCCTTCCATTGTTAAATTTGTCGTACTACTTGCATAATCATTTGGTAAACTTGCTAGGAAACACTGTTGGTTTCTGTCAAATTCTATTCATACCGTATAGTGCATGCATTTTTCCAAAACTCATTTGGTCACTTTTTTTAACAACTTGGCTTGAACAAAAATCTGGACCTTTAGTTTGTGGTTATCTGCATTTTTCATAAATTACTCTATTGTAATTCATATAGGATTAAGAATAGGCCATTCAGCCCATTGACAGAGTGTGCTCTGCCATTCAGTTACATCAATGCTAATCATACTGTCTCCCTTTGGGATGTGGAACAATGACTGAGAGCTGAAGTTGAATTCCCCTTCAGGTTAAAATGTGGCTTTTAAGAGTAAGCATAAGCATTGATGACTGTGATGTACTTGTCCTGGGTTGTGGTGAATCAGGAGGTCATGCATTCACTCGTAGGAAATGAAAAGCATGAGGAAGTTTGCCACGATGTAACTAGTTCCCTTTTTAAATTTTGAAATCAATCCCATAGAGTCCGTATTCTTCCTCAGATTTACCCTTCCCAGACTAAGGTGTATCTATCACTTCCTTTTGAGCTGGACTTCACCTGTCTGCTGCTCTAAGCGAGATATAACAATGTAAATGTCACAATACCAGGGTTCCTCAGTATTGACAGTGGTGCAGTATTCAGGTCTTTCTTTACTGGTATTGTTTGTGAGGATCCTGATGTCCTAGGTCCCAAACTTAATTTTGGGACAGAGTGGAAGAAGCTTGCATGTGATTCTTTTAACATGGGATGGCTGTTGCACTGTGACTACTACATAGCAAGGTCTGTCTGATGACAGTGGTAACTGAGATGAATGGAGCCCAGGCTCAACTGATTCTCCTCCTTGACTTCAATGCCAGAGTTGGGAGGGACATGCATCTCTGGAAACTATGTTTGACATGGAACGTCTAGAGAAGGTAAACAATAAGAGTCCTTGTCTTGACATGATGTCTACACTAGGTCATAACAAACACTTTATTTCATCAAAGATAAATACAAAATCTCATGGTAACACCTTTCAGTCCATATGTTGGTACCTGCATGACTACTTGAAAATCTGTGTGAGGTACTGCAAGGATGCTCATGCAACCTGTGTAATGACTGGAGCTGACAACTGCTGGAGGAACCATGGCCTGATACAATCTATGGTGTAGATCAAGCTGGTACAAAAATGGCAGTGGCAGGAACAGAGATGCTGTCATAAGAAATTCATTTGTCAATTTAACAAAGAAAGACCTGCTTGGTCAGTGACATACAGCCAACTGGTGTGCTCAAAATGGATAGGAACTGCAGAATGCCCACAATACCTGCTCTACCCTTAAAACCATCATGTATCATAATTGCAAGAAACTCTTGGCTTCACTAGTAGAAAACATCAAGACTGATTTGAGAGTAACCAGGTGACCTGGAGCTACAAAATCGCAAACACAACGTGATCCTGAGCTGCATTCACTCTGAAGCCAAAGGAAAGAAAGCAGACTTACAGTTAAATGGAAGCCAAATTTCAACAGAACACCAGCACCTAAAGAAATGGATGATGGCTGGAAACTGCAGTAAAACCAGCAACTTGCTGATAGCTATGATGTAATTGGATTGTTCAATACCGGCAAGACCACCTAAAGTCCAAGCATTCAAGGACCTACCTCAGAGATCCAAGAATAAAGTATTGCTTATCAAGAACAGAAGCAGTCAGCACTCATTAAGAAGGAGCATTTTGGATTCGATCTTTAATGTGGGTGCCCTTGACCACATCCCACAGCACGCTACCCATTACAATCCCAACCTGACAACTAGTTGAAAAAGCCATCCCACAGCTGAGAATCAACAAGCCCACTGGCACAATGGAATATCCAGTGAGCTATTGAAAAATGGTGAAGTTCTCTTGGCAAAAATATGTGACCTTCTCTCACACTCAAAGGAGAGTACACCAATGGAGCTCTGAGATGCTCTGTGACCAAGCATTAAGAAATGAGATTAAGATGAATTGTGGTAAGTACAGAGGGCTGTCCCTGCTGTCCACCACAGAGAATGTCATTGCAAAAATTCTCTTCAGTCAACTCCTCCCAGTGGCTGAAGAGCTCCTACTGGAGTACAATGGGGATTCCATTGATCAAGAGGCACAGTGGATGACAAGTTCATGAAAAATGCTAAGAAGCAACAACCTTTGTACATGGCCTTCTTTTGACTCCGTCAACCAGGAAGGAATAAACTGTTACCATTCCTCATTTAATGAACAACCACACGCAAGCCATGATCCTCACCAGTGGATCCACCCCAACCCAATATGTTCACAAACTAGTGTTAAGCAAAGCTGTGTATTTCAAAGCTGTGTATTTTAATACTCTTCTCCATCGTCCTCACTACAGCTCTACACCCCATATCAGTGAAAAGACCCAATAGTGGATAAACAAGAAATTATTCAACACATCAGCTTCAGTTCAAAACCAAGTCCAATCTCTGTCATTGTCTTCATGCTGCAGCTCCAATGTTAGCACGTGTACACACGCAGACGATAGCTTGGGGGCTGGTCTCTATGTATTCACAGGCATGAGAATGGGCTTTAGGCTAAATTTTCAAAGAAACTAAAGACCTCCATTAACCTGCTCCAATCATGCAACACTGTTCCTCCACTTATTAAGACTTGCAGTGTGCCATTGGTGACATGGGTTAATTCTTATGCCTCCAGGAACCTCCTTTTCAATGGGGGTAGATGTTGATGAAATTCACAGTTGCCTCAAGTGTGCCAGTGCTGCCTTTAGCTTTCTGAGAAACAAAGACCTCAAACCCAGCAACAAACTCATGGTCTACAGTAGAGTTACCTGCTCTTAAGTATGCATTGGAGACGTGGACAATGCCCTGCAGACATATCAAATCTCAAGAAAAGTAGTGCCAGCATTGCCTCCTCGATCTTGAAAACCCACTGGTGGGATAGGCACTCCCAATATCAGTATCCTGTTTCAAACCAACAGTCCCAGCTTCAAGGCACTATTTGTGGTCAGACAGCTGAGTTGGGCAGGCTACATCATCTGCATGCCTGACACAAGACACAAACATTTTACTCCAAGCTTTTCATCGGGCATGTGGTTACAAAGAAGGCCTGAGGGGGGATAAAAAGTTCAGGTATATTTTCAAAGCCTCCATAAGAAAGTGGAGCATCCCCACTGAACCATGGTAATCTCTCTTGCCTAAAAGTTCAAACTGGAGAAGAAATGTCCACAAATACCAACAATCTCTGACAAGCCCAACTGGGGGGCCAAGTAGCATCAGCAGAAACAGCATGTGAAAATTCAAGCATCCAACTCAGCCTCCCTTCAAATACCAACTTCCCCACCTGTAGATGGATTTGCAGATCCAGGATTGGACTATTTTAGTACCTTGGGACCCAGGACATCAAAATGGAAGAAAGTCAGCCATGGTCTGTAGAACTGCCTAAGGAAAAGGCTTGTCCTCTACCGCTTCCATTTTCCAGCACTATCCATATATCCCTTTGGTATCATTATTGTCTAGAAATGCATTCATTTCTATCTCAAACATGATCAATGATTGAGCTTCTGCAACCCCCTGGGGTAGAGAA